TAGTCTGTAACTTGTATCATGCACGCGTTACGGTCGAGCGGCTATCAACGAATTGAACTTCGCCGCGCTGCAAACAAACATGGCTGTTTCAGTCCAAAAGATGAGGGAGTGCTCAAGTTCTCCTCAGGGCGAGTATTCGTGCTCTGCTTTATTGTTGCCAACATTTTACGACCCTCGATGTCACTGAAGTTGATATGCATGTACTTAGTACGTCTAATGGTAACTAGACGTGCAGCTATTGAGACAACCAAAAAAAAAAAAAAGCAAAAACTAAAATGCAGTAAGCGCAAATCAGGGGGTTGCAAAGCCTCCGATGACGGAATCGAAGTGCCGATGGCAAACACACGGAACATTGACCCGGCCGGCTACAACTTCAGCCCGCATTGAATCCAAAGCGAGGTCAACTATCATTTGTTTGGAGAACTTAGGAACAAAATCAAAGCAGTGAAAAAAATCAATGCAGATTTATTGTTTTTGGATGCTGAATCATTACAAATGCATTTATGTCATTTAAATTTACTGTATGATCAAAATGTTCAATAAGCGACATTTAAAAATGACATTGGGGCACAGGACCCAACATACCAAGCTAGTCTGGCACTATCCCATTTGACAGATCCCATTGTAAACTTAAATACATATTCACGTACGGAATGTGGATCATGCCTGGGCCCACTCAGTGATAGCCATGCATGCCAGCCCACCCAGCCTTGAGCAAGACCAAATCCGTAAAACAGTTCACAATTGTCGTTTTATAGGGCCTATCTCGCTTCAATCCAGGTATGGTAAACATTTCCAAAAGGCCGTAAAAGTAAACTCTGAAAATGTCCATGCATTTGTTCACTGACCACACTGATCTACATGTGAACAAACTTTCTAGAAACCTGACGCAAACTGTTTGCATATCGACGGGTTCAGTCTCGTGATACGATGATGCCAAAGTTCACCGTCACGTACCGTGCACATGATCCTACTTCTGACCGTCACAGCTGTTAGTTTGCAACGATTGGCAGGCAGGATGTGACCACTGCATGAACAGTCTGACTCGTATTACAATGGATCCTGGTACATGAAAAAGCCGTCAGTTGAATTAGGCCTGTAGATTCGTATAATTCCTCCATGGTTTAAAATATTGTGGAATTGCCTTTTACAGTTTGTCCTCATTCCACAGAAATGAATCATGAAATGGACAGTTTCTTTCCTTATGTCATAGTCAGATATATAGCCTACGTAATGGAAAAAATAAGACCCCTGGCACCGTGGGCGATAAACAACCCCAACCATGAACCTTCCTCCATGCATGAACACAGAGACAAGCCTCACAACCGAAAGAAGGCTAACACACCATGACATGACCTTTATAGCCTCCTTTCAGTATCCGCAATCGACGCAAGTGCATAGCATGATCTAGTAGAGTGCATTAGTGTGTATTGCTGTGTAGCACCAGGTTTCACGGGCTGGTATTAAGTCGCTTCCGTGTATTACCCATGGTATTACTGTCACGTACGGGGGAAAACCCAACTACATCGTGTAACTTGTTTTGGCAAAAAAGCGCGAATCCATCCACAGCAACGTTAACCCCTTTGTTGTGTCAATAACCGTTGCGTACTACTACGACAGATCCAGGGTTCGTGAGCCCTAAATTACTCCAAATTTCCGGGTATGATGGTGAAACAGACGAAGATAATATAGCAGGGGTTTCACTGGTAGACGCCATGATTATGTTCATGAGAATTCTGCTTCGTTGGCTGATTATCATCGTGAGTATTCCAGTCACTGATGAGAAACCCTCGCAACGGACGGTATTCACTGTGATCGGCAGAAACAATGACACCTTCAAGATCGAGATACAACATCACGAATGTCCGGAGGACCACTTCCTCTACAGGCTTTCAAGGGGGGAATTCTATCTCCAAGACGGCAGAGATATCACTGAAGAGGTGACGGAAATTTGCCAGAGATGTACGAGGTGTGATGACGGAGTGGAGGTAAGAATTACGGTCACCCGTAAAAAAAGAGAGAAAAGAAGAAGAAGAACTGGTTATGTAAAAGGAACAAACGAATTTGAAAAAAAGTGGCTAGCGACAGCGCCACCTAGCGTTTCATAATCGCCTCTGACCTTTGTATTCAACGTTGACCTGCGGGCAGAGACCTGACCTGTCCGAAAGGCAGGCAACACTCTCAAGTTGGTATGTGAAGTTCTCGTTCAAGTAGAAATACATGTATATCCACACCAGGATCATTGTATTCGCAGTGGATGCGTACAAGATATCCACTGGACCGAATATTCAGTCGATCAATGTCGCCCACAAACCAGTAAATTGCCCAAGACCTTTCAAGTCCATCCCTTGTCATCCAGTCGCAAGCCAAGTCGCAAGCTATTTATCATTTTTCATCCTGATACTATTCTTGTAGACTAGTGACTTATGACTGGATAACCGTATAGGCGTGACACACTGACTCGAACAAGGCTTGTCACGTGACATAGTGACAGTGTGTGGAATCCGATTCAGATGAGGATGTGCAGACTAAGAGCCCTATTAACTTACTTGCATTTGGACAGGTAATGCGAAAGTGTTCCCAGTACCAGGACATTGTCTGCGGGAGAAAATGCACACAGCCCGGGTACAGATTTGACGAGGGCACCCAGTCCTGTCAACACAAGAAAATACTTGACGAGGGTTACACCCACGAGGAACTGCGGCAGTGGTTGGCAGTGCAGGAAGACAAGGCACGCGAGGATTTGGTGGCAGAAGTGGGATTCACCGGGACTCCTAGAGTTCCACAGACTACTAAGGTGGCTAAGATTATGCCAGGATCAGGAATGCCCCTGAAATTAGGTCAGGAAGGTTCGGAGGAAAGTAAGACAGTAGCAAGCTCAGAGCTAGATGCCAAGCAGGATCAAGGAGAAATGAAAGAGACAATCCCAGTGGAGGCAAATCTCGAAGACGGTTGGGGATATGAGAACTTGTTGTTGATCGCCTCCGGGACCCTCTTTGTAATCGTTGCCCTGGCCTACGTGTATGTGGCTATGCAAAAATTTCAGCGGCCGCGATTTCTATTCAGACGACGAGGTGAGAACATCCAATTTATTGTTTTATATTCTTTTGAGGAAATGACAAACCCTGTATGATCGATGTTACTTGAAATCGTGAGCCCATGTAATATAATTCCGCTTGTACTGCAGACTTACTGCAGACTTGCGCAGTACTACCGAGGGAACTTTACTCAAAGGAGTACTTATTTCTTACAACATTATGAAATTTTAAGTGGTTGTGATCGCATAAATTAGGTTTGATGGTTTGCCTCTATGGTTTCTGAGTTTTGTTCATGGGCCTTTTGAACTATTTGGTTTCTTCGATTCTGACAGGGCGAATGAGGGAACCCTCCGTTCCAGTGCTCAGAGTCGAGACTGGTACGTCTGGAGTCGAGGCTAGTGTGCCGACCACATCGACAATGGTGCGAATGGTTGCGTCAGGACCAGTTACTTTTGAAACCGTGAAATACCAGCCGATTAAAAATGGCCCGAGTTCGAATGGCGCCAGCACTAGCTGTGTTGCAGACGAAAGCGACGAGTGGACAACCGATTATAGTGATTCTGAAAGTGGAGATGTTGATTTAGAAAATGAATCCCGTGGTGACGATGTGGGAATCGACGTGAAGCAAGATGACAGAAAAGAGGTGATAATGGTGGGTGGGGCGAGCGACGAGAAAGAGGGTGTTGTTCTTGAGGATATTAAAGTTGAACTTGCTGCAGAGTATGAGACTTGCAGTGATGGTTCATCAGCTGATGATGGTTGTAGCTGTTACGTAAATGAAATCGAAGAAAGGACGTCAGAAGGTGAAATGACTTCAACTGGAGGAGAACAAGATGACAGAGATGAAGAAGATGTCTGTGCCAGAGAAAACAGTTGTTTCGAGAAGAGGAATTGGACAGGTACCAATTATTTTGTGACTCCTGAAGCCATCAAATGCGCCACTAGTAGTTCTCGCTCTACCATGGAAACGATTCCAGAGGATGATGAACCCAGCCAGTATACTCTCATGGATGATCCGAATGGACCGTGGGTCACTGTCGACGACAGCGACAATGTCAATAGTTTACTTACATTGCATCATTACCCAACGGGTTGTGATGAGGCAACTGAAGCTGATAACGAAAGCGATGACGAAAACTTCATCGATGGAATCGATTCTCCCATTGATTGCCCTGATAGCTGCAACAGCGATTATGAGGAGTATAGCTTCGCTGGTGAAGACGGCTTGAGTAAAGACATTCAAGATTGGGCCGGGGCAGATACAACTGGCGATAATGATGAAAGCGATACTGATAACTTCGTCGATGGAATCGATTCTATGGGCAATCGTCATGATGATGCTCTCAATAGCAAATATGAAGCTCGGAACACGCATGTTGAAGATGATCGAAATCAAGCCACGTTGGAGACAAGAGATTGCTACAGTCAAGTAACTGAAAATGATCTCGAAAAACGAGTAAGTATTTGCGATTTTAACGAAGGGCGATTTTTTCAGGTGAAGAACGCAATGTCGCTGTTTGCATCCCCTGAATCTGCTGCTGCTGTCATCTGCGACCAAAAGGTCTATCTTTCCCTGAAAGCTTTCATGTCCGCGGATTACCTTGCGTCGACAGTGTGCCCAGGGCGAGGAGGCAGTGGGATATTGGGAGGGATAGATGGCATCCCCCGCTCAAGACATCTGACAATTAGGGAGAGTATTGAAGAGAGATCATGGTGCACATTCGATTTGGCGTTTCCTATCACCGACGCATACATGACACCAGTCAATGAACTCTGCGAGGAAATACTTGCATTAAGCAAATTGGATAAACCTGCTGAGAACAGTTGTTTCGATTTGGGTCACTTAATTCAAAAAATACGTGACGAATTCACCAAGTTTGGTCACTCATTGAAAACAAAACGAAACGACTGCAAAAGGTTTCAGTTCCTGGAAAGTCGCAAGTCTACTTTAGTCTTATCTCCAGACCCATTGTTTGCCCAAGCATTTGTCACGTATGTGACGCGCATGATGAAAAGGAAATTGACGAATCAAACTAAGACTAGTGGCAGTACTCGAGGCTGGGAAACGTTGGACTGAGTTTGGTCCTTCATCTAGAAAACATTCGCTTTTGTTGGGCCTGAGGTGTGTCGACGTGAACGACGTTTATAAGCCTATTGAGGCTAAAGGTATGTATGGCGCAACAACACTGCGCTAATTTGCAACATGTGCATGATTTCGGGATTTACAATAAACTTCAAATATATTTCCCCTTTAAAATCTTGGCTACGCCTCAAGCTCACTCAGCGATCTCGTGGCGCAAAAATTTTTCTGTTGTATGAGAGTTAAATTTTTTGGAGCTTTTTGCGTTTGAAGTATTTAAGTCCCAGAGTTAATGTTTGTGAATATCTCTTTGTAATAATGTCTTGAAAATTAGGTGACCCGTGCTGCCAATTTTGTATGTCTAATTGTATTGAACATTAACAGTTGTGTAACATAATCCTCTGCATTCCATGATTTTTTTTCTTCTCTGTCGCAGCTTTAGGTCGTAGGGTTTATAAATGGTTCAACCATATTGCTAATCAAGCCTATAGCAAGTTCATTTATCTTTTGTAATTCGCCAACCAGAATCAGAAGCCATTACTGCGGTGGCACAACGCTCGTGGACAGGTGGTACGCGCGCGTTACATGCTTCATCGACCAATAGGATGTCGTCATTTGGCAAATGCACGCGCGCGTCCAGCTGAAGAATGTGCGTGTGAGTGCGGTGCCACCGCAGTTACGGCGTCTAATAGAATTAGTCTACGTGTATAGAAGCAAGAAAGCGATAATTATATGCAGCCTACTTGGAGTGAGCGCCTTTCCATATGCATATCTTTTGGTGTGTTGCGTACGCAGTGCGTTTACGCGTCCCATTTTCATGAACACGGAAACCAACGCCATGAACTAAACACGCGTGTGCGTTGCGTTCGGAAACGCAACGCTTGGCGTGTGTTGTTGCGCATGTGGAAAGGCGCCATTAAGGCAAACACGATAAGAGGGTGCCATGTGGCTCTGATAAGCTTTTTTCTGTAGCCCATTTGGTCAAATTTATCCACTTCAAATAGTACCCTCCTCTCCTGTCTGCCATTCCTCTAAATGGCTGAGGTAAATTGAAAATACTTTCTTGAAAAATATCCAGATTTTCTTCGATATTATTTGCAGTCAGCATAAGTGTACTCACGGTCACCTCCAATAATACGAAGCCTAAACATGTAAAGCTTGTAGCGTCTCTCAGTTTACCAGTACCGTTTTTCTTGATTTGATTTTGTCGAGATTAATGGCCGTTCATCAGAACAGTTTACAAAGAAGACAGATACTCAGCGTGGTGGATGTAGGATACCTGACAGAAGTAGAAGCGTATACATGTACCTGGCCAGGTTCTTGAACAAAAAAGTGGGGAAAAATAAATGTTACTTTGAAATTGATACGAGAAATAATTCCCAGATGCTGGCCAGACACCATTGTCGTAATTAATGTGAA